GGCGCGGCGGCCGGGCCGGCCTCGCACTCCCGGGGCAGCCTCCTCCTCCGCCGGGCGCCCGCCCTGGTGCGGAGGGGCCCTGCCGCGCCCTGCCCGCCGGGAGAGCCGCCGCGTCCGCAGCCCCTTTTCTGCAAGTTGCCAGGTTGAAAGTGCTGTCACCTCCAACTCGTCGCACTTCTGAAAAGGAGTGTTCTCGAGTGTGTTCTGGTTCTTGGCGGAGCTCTGTGATCGCGGGTTAATGCAGGGAGTCAGGCTGAGTCCTTGAGGAGCAGGCTTTACGGCGGCCAAGTCAGCAGCAGCGCCCTGCGTTAGCCTTTATTTCAGATTGCATTTAGAGTTCCTTTAAAACATCCCTGTCGATCCTTTTTCATTTCTTAGGGAGAATTGAGGCCCCATGCCCCTTCTGGAGATCTTTAGCTTCTGAGTACCCTCACCCCCCTTTCACTTTGCTTGTTTGTTTCTTTCGGTCTTTTTGAGACAGGGATTCGCTGTGCATTTCAGGCGGACCTTAAGCTCACTTTGTAGCTCAGGCTGCCCGCGAACTCATGACAGTCCTGGTTCATCCTCCCCAGTGCTGGGATTACAGGTGTGCGCCGCTATGCCCACCCTCCCACCCCATTCTTTTCCGTGGTTTCTGTTTCTAACTCCGATAACCTTGTTAGCTGTACCATCTGCCTGCATGATGTGTCTTATTCTGACTGTGCTTCTGGTGCATTTTCTCCTCTAATTGTCACACTTCCATGACTCCAGTTGCCACACATTGAAGGGATTACCAATGATACGGAATCTATAAAGTTGAGGGTAATGTTGTATGCTCAAGTTCTGCAAAAACACGCTAGGGGCCGAGGAGATGGCTCAGTAGAATAAGCGCTTCCCTGGCAAGGGCAAGGACCTGAGTTCAATCCACGGTTTCGAAAAAAAAAAAAAAAAACAAAACCCAAAACACTCTATTGGTAACTTGAAGAAAAGAAAATGGGGCATTTTCTATCACAGCCTGTGTATTTGGAATTCACACCAAAAATCGGTTACTTTGCAGGGGAGATGGCTCAGTGGAATAAGCGCTTCCCTGGCAAGTGCAAGGACCTGAGTTCAATCCCCGGTTCAAAAAAAAAAAAAAAAAAAAAAATTGGTTACTTCATAATACTAAAGGGCAGAACTTATTTCAATATGGACATACTGATTCATTTATAAACATGAATTTCGACTTACTTTTCTATGTATTTAGTACAGGGTCTCACAGCACAGATCGGACTCAGTGACCCTCCTGTTCTCAGCCTCCCAGAGCTGGCCTTACAGGGGCTCACCACTGCCCTTTTCAGCTTCCCCGGGGCGGGGGCCAGGGCAGGCCGGCACAGCATGCTGGTGTCCTGGGGCTTGCCTAAGCAGGCACTTCAAAAATCTTGACTTCTTAATACATTCATACTCCCAGAAAAAATTCTATAGTTTATTATGTATATTCTTATAGACTTTGTTTGGTTTTGTAGATAAAACTGTAGTGATATAAACGTAGCCAAGAGAAATGCCGAGAGCTTTTATTTTTATTTATTTTTGAGTAACGGGATTGAACTCAAGCCCTTGCGCTTGCCGGGAAAGCGCTGTTCTGTGAAGCTATCTGCCCAGCCCCAGAAGAGCTTTTACTCTGGGAGAGATAGTTCTAGGATCTCGTGTGTTCTGAATCTCCACTGTCTACCCAAGAACTGGGTGATACTAATCAGCTGTGGGTTGGTGAGAACAGCTGATGGAACAGATGGTAAAGCAGGAAGTTGCTGTTTAGCAGTTTATCTCGTAGCACTTCATTCCACATTTGCTGGTACTCAGCTTTACTGTGATGTTGGGGGGATTATTTTGCTGCATAAATTTTCTTTGTTTCATTGTTTAAAATGCTAATGTCTTCAAAACGTGGAACAAGCCCTTAGTGTCTGACTGACTTGTGTTTGTAATTCTCTTTCTGCCTGATCTAGTTCGTGGTCCACATAGAAACTTTGAGGATCTTGGCTGAATTCTCATGCGGATGGGGTCATTATGGTCCTGGTGAGTACAGCAAGCGTGCAGAAGGCTCTCCTCTGCAGGTGCACCACAACGTGGGGAGTGGCTTTTTGTTTCCTTCCATGTCTGAAATGGATTTTCTGTTTTTTGCTAAGTTATATACATTTTTCTCTTTTTG